ATGATCAATGGTTAGATTGTCAAAGTCCGGACATTTATCCCGTTGGATGGTGCGATCTTGTCGACCACAAGTTAGAAGCGCCGCGAAGTGTACTCACTAAAAACACTAGTCCTACTGGTAAATATCACATATATTTATGCACATATTGTTTAGGGTAGATTAAGTATGTATATCATATTTATGAAAATATATTTTCATAGTAAAATCACCAAGAGGCCTTAAACGTAAAGCTAAGAGAAAATTGAAGAAGAGTAGCAAGATGTTTTGCTCCAAAAATATACTACCTCGTCAGAGCGAACGTATTAGTATGGCTCGCGAACGTGGGCGAGAATTGGAGCCTGCTCAAGGAACCAAAATTGAAAGGGAGCGTGACTTAGAGAGTCTACCGGAACAGAGAAGCAGAGAGCCGGAAACAGCGGAAGAACCGGCTGGCCCCGATCAAACCTTACCCAGTCCTACCACTGGTCAAGGTCAAGCATTGAGTGACACGCAAAGCGAAGTACAGAGCCCTCCACCACCTAAAGAAAGAACTGCTACGTCATACATCAATGTAAGTAATATAATATTTGTATATAAATTTATTTCTTTCAAGTATAAATATACCATGTTAATTAAAATTATTATAAATGGAACTAAATTCTAATTTATTTGATTCTTATAGGTTACTTCAGCAAGTAGTAAATATATACCGAGACTAGCAGATGGTATACAAAAAAGTTCGGAATCTGGTGATCTAGTGCCATCTGAATGGAATGTCTTTGATGTTGCACAATTTCTTCGTGTTAATGATTGTGCAACATATTGCGATAATTTCAGTAAACGTAAAATAGATGGAAAGACATTGCTGACTCTCACTAAGGACCAAATAATAGACCTAACAGGTTTCAAAGTTGGACCTTCTTTAAAGATATATGATTTAATTCAGCAATTAAAAATCAAAGTGAATCCAGCTCAGGAAAGGTTGAAATTAGGATTGAAGAAATTATTATAACAAAACTAGTATATAGTTAGCGCTATAATTAAGTTCCATCATTATGCAAATTAGACATGGATTTACAGGTAAGGCATGTGAAATAACGATAATTAAAATTATCTCTATCTCAGTATGATTACATGTTATTTGTTACATACTTTACTAATGTACTGAAGGAATGTTTATATATAGATTCTTCATAGTCTAAAACAAAAGCGTAAAATTTAGATGCCGTATGATCTATTATGATTTAAAAGAGAATATTCCATTCTGAAAAAGAGTTGCGATTTTATTTTTATCCTTAAATTCATAAACAAATTATACTCGATTAGTTATTTATTAATTTTCAAAATGAAAAAAAAATATATAAATCTGCATTGAGATCATTTAAGCATTAAATACAATAAAAATATTTAGTATTAAATGTACAATGTGTGAATACAAGCAGAATATAAAGTAATCTATTTTTAATAGATGTAACAACAAAAATTGTTGTTCCATTATTAAAATTATTTATTGTTAAAATTACTTAATAAGATTTTTGATAACATAGATTTTTATAATGTAATCACTTTACTGCAAATTTTCTATAAATTAACAAATGCAGTACATATTTGTTTATTATTATTATTTTAATTCATAAGATAATGAAATATAAAAATAAAATAGACCAAGCAAGAAAAATAATAATTATATAGAATTATATAATAAATATTTAAGGCATGTATCAACTTTTTAATATAATGTATTATACAGGGTGTCCGATAATAACCGTATCACCTCTCGTATGCAGGCAAAGGTGAAATCGAGGAGAAAAATGAGAGGTGATACGGTTGCCATCGGACACCCTGTATATATATATATACACAAGAACGCAAGTAAATAAACTATAAATTTTTCATAAAAACTGCATTTTGGAATGGATTATTCTTTTTAAGAAAGATAGCCTCAAATTTTTTTATAATGCCCATATATTATTGTAGAAGAGAATTAAAATTAACTTTTTTTACAATAATATCATACATTTTATATATATATATATATATATATAAATAAATATATATTTATACCTGATACATATGTAAGGAAAACTTGATGTACGTATATTGCACTTATACATATTCATAAATATGTGACATATTTTCTGTAATATGTTTTTTTACTGAAATTTTTCTTCCAACCACAGCGTTATTTGTAAATCCATGCTATCATATTGCACTGCATTAACGACATGGATGCATCAGCCACAAACTGATATGTAAAATATAAAATTTTCCTTGGATAAATAATAAATAATAACATTTCTTGGATGAATAAAAATAAAAATTCAGACATCTCACATTTTATGTACGCTAACAGAATAAATTAACACAGATATATTAAAAGTAGCTACGCAAAGTACAAAGAGAATATTTTTTTTTTTATTGATTTAATACCAATTAATGTTAAACTTGTTGAACAATAATACAATTTTTGCAGAAGAATATAATTCTTTTTATTTTAATTGATCTCTACAAATTCATTCTATATGTATGTGACGTATAATACATATACTTAAAGTTAAGTATAACTAAAAGAAAATTGAAAAATTATATAAGCATATATGTAGATCTTGTATATATTATATGTAGCATGATGTTAGTTTTAGCTCTATCTCTTTGTGGTGCAAACCATGACACACGATACCATGCTGCACTACATAAGTGGCTGATGCATACGTACAATGTACATTATATCCATATACTGCTTAATCACCTCTATAATGAATCAAGCAATCAGGTAACGTTACAGAATATCGCTTTGATTTTTAAATACTATTTTAGTACTATAAAATATAAACGTGATTACACCCGCCAATTATTTATTCAATAATTTGGGATCTCTAGAAACTAGACTCTTACGTATCTTTTATCTATAATGTTTTCTGAAAAGATTATATATATATTTGTGGTAAAGGAGCATCTCGTATATGACTGGTCAAGCAACACTGTATCATTCTCGTGCACAAATTATTACAGAATTCTAATAACATGTTATTCATGCAAAGTGAAACCTGTATATTCTCAACCATATTTGTGCGTTAAATCTTGTCTGAAAAATATTAATTTTTGTTCACAAATGAATTTTTTGCTACGAGCTGTAAAATCAAATAGTAACGTGTAACATTAACATATAGTACGAAACATGGAGCGGTCTGCTCATTATTTGGTCTGCTATACATATACCTTTAAAGAATTAAGGATTATAATTAAACTTTAATCTTAATTTATTTAAAGTTTTTTTATATTGATTATTTTGACAAAACTGGATAGACACTTATTGCTTACTCGTTAAATTTGTTTTCATTCTAAGTAAAACATAGAATTTGATTGGATAAAAGAATTATTTGATATTCAGTTCTATTTCTGTGATTGTATAAAAAGCGTTAATTTTTATCGAATAAGAATCACACAGTCATAAGTACAAAAAAGCAATACTATCTATGTTTCAAAGCACATAATGTATAATTTTATGTTTAAATTATAATTTACTCAAAAAATCTGCAACAAATATCTCATTATTTTGTGTTGTATCTTAAATGTTTTTTAGTAATTTCAAACATTGCATATTTAAATGAAATAATAGAAAACTATTACGAAAACACATATGACCTTTCAATAATGTAGAATTTTTTATGGTGGTCATTGTCAATGCTAGATCAAACAAAAAGATACGCTTAGAGAAAAATAAATACTTATTATTAGTTATATGTCTTATCCCTCTATGCCATATTGTGATTTACATATCAGTTTCTGGATTTGTATTCATTGTCAAGGGCATTCCACATTTTCGCATGTGTTTATGAAGAAAGATGTAGGCTATAGAGGGTTAAGAAAATAAAATGAATATTTGCCAGGAATTTTGTAACAATTATTGTGAAACTTTTTATTATTAGACAAAAATTAGAAAAGGCATAAGGAGCAATACACACATTTTTTATTATTAAATTATTATCAGATTATTCATAGTATGGTAGTTATCTTTAGGTCATAAATTTGCAATTCATATATAACTTAATTCGTCGCAAATTTCAATAAAAAGATCACATTTTGTTTCTTTTTAGAGTAATAATATAATATATATATATGTGATAAAAAAAAGAAAACATTTTTACAAATTTTAATTGAGTGAAAGATAAATTTTTCAATCGTTTTTTCTTTTTATTAATCTCCATATATACATATCATCTTAATAAAAAATAAAATTTGAATATTGCATATATATATATATAGGATTATCTCTAAATTATATTAATGAGATTTAATTTCTGCAAAAGAAATTTTATATACATAGAATTTTACGAAATTAATACGTCATCATTTCTACAAATATCTTTCGCCGGTAATGCAGATTTATATCGTTTGGGCGATGAATTTCGTTATCGACGAAATATTATTAATTATAATCTCTCCACAGGATGTCGCGCCGATTCGCAAGTATTAATGTAATGGAACGCACACAACTAAAAAAAATCTGATTCATTGATTTGTTCGGAACACCATGTTGTATTCGATACACAGCGTCCTTGATATAATGCCATATAAGAAAGGAGATCGTATTATTAGATAGAAGTATAGTAGTCCGCATGCTGAAACGCGCGATAAAGCGTAGATATAAATAATGCACAGACGCGTCGCGATGACCGGTGGTCTCGATGATCATCGTCTACTTTCATGTTGCGTCCGGCGCCTCGTAAACGCGGCGTGACTCCGTCGAGCGAGCGACGAACGACGCAGCGTAGGAACATTCATTGTGTGTGAGTCTGCTAACCATATAGTCGTATAGCCGTACAGATGGTCGGTTCGTATATACATATACGTTTACGCTCGACGACGCCGGTTCGGTGAGGGAGAGGGGGGGGGGGAAGAAAGAGTGGGGATGCGAGTAGACTCGCGTATTCTATGGGCGGGGCTTTAGCCAGCTGGCAGATGTTTCCCGCGCGGCCGCGTCATTCCTCTAGCGTAAACCTACGCGACGCGCAAATAGTCCCACGTTGTGGCGCCGGATATTTCCCGCAATAGGCGATCGCCCGGCACGGACGCGTTCACGGTTAGATTTACGCGAATCGGTAGTGCGAGATTACAAGGGTACCGATCGCCGAGAGAGACGGAATGGCGAGACGATCGTGAGGATGAGCTGAGACGTAGGGGCGGGAAGGAAGGAGAGGATTGAAGTGAGTCGCCGCTCTCAGGGCAGAGTGAAGTGCGCGATTCCCCCTCGACTCGAGCGCGAGGCCGCCTCGATTGTACGCGGGCGCGCCCGGCGAGGAACACGTCTTTCAAGTGTTCTTATCTCGCAGTGAATTTCATCGCGTACGCGTCGTCGCATCGCACGCGCTTCGGGGGCGCAGGCAGATATTCGTCGCGCGTTTCACACACGACGCGTACGTACGCCGGTAACGTATGTGAGTTACGTGTCGTCCCGGATTTGTCGTGCCTGGCATCTTCGTCGATGCGTCAAAAGTGATCGGAAAAACCTACTCGCGCGCGCGATGATGATTCAACCGGCGTACGAAAACAGAACGATCTCGTTCTGCATCCCAGCATCTTAACCAGATCGGTTGACAATCCCGAGGAGATTATCTCGTGAAAATAAGAATAAGTGCGAGAGACTCGATATTTTCTAACGAGACTGTACTAACGTGAACGCGGTTGAATATTTCGCGTGTGCAATTTTTCGTACGAGTGTAACTTCGCGCGAGTGTTTCCGGCGATCTTTCTCGCCTGTGACATTATTTATCCGGAAAAGGGCGCGTATACATCGACGGCGAGTGAAAAGTGAAGGAAAAGTACGGCGCCTCGGAAGAGAAGGGAGCACCTAAGCTTGGACTACGTTGCGACGTTCCTGACGCCGGGCGGCGGAGTGATCCACGGCTCGTCGTGGGGGCCCTCAGCTGTTTCCCGCCAAAGATCGCCATTACAAAACGCGTTCGGGCGTTGTGTGTGCGCGCCGCGCGGAGCGTGTGGCTGTCCCGTGGACGAATCTTTTGTGCGCGTTGCCGGCATCTGCTGACGAAAAGAAGGGGCTGTCGCGATACACGGCGTGTACCGGAAGTGGCGAGTAACGCGTTTATACATATATTACACCGCGAACGGAGACGTATTTGATAAAACGCGCGTTGTGTTTGTCCCCCTCCCCCGTTCCGGTGGAGTGCGCGGTCGGTCGGTCGGTCGGTCGGTCGGTCGGGCGGGCGAGCGAACGAGCGAACGACGAACGAACGAACGACAAACGAACGAACGAACAGCCGGGCGAGAAAGAAAGGAGCAAATAAGTGCGCGAGAAAAAGTGAGAGCGATAACGAAAAGATATCGAGAGCAGCGTGACTCGTCGTCTCTTCGCAGCCGCTACGACGGCTGTCGCGAACGTGAAATTCGCTCGGCGGGACTCTCAGTGCTTCGGACCGACGAGATATGTCAGTGTTTGGTGGTGACGATCGGATTTTGCTCGAGGAAATCGTCGAGTCGACTGAACAGCCGGAGGTTGAATTGTGCGGGTGAGTCCTTTCATCAAATTTCCTTTACGAAAAAGATTGATGTGTACATACGCGCGATAGTGATAGAAACCACATACCTAAGTACATCGTATACTCGTATACTCTGTGCTCGTGTTTGATATGACTCGGTTATATGAACGTTATATAGTACGCGCTCGTCGTACAATCGAAGCGAGACAGAGCGAAACGAAGCGAGCAAGAGGGACGAGGTTTATATTGGCTCTCTCTCGAGAGTGTCGTGCCGCTTATCGGCCTCAACCTGTTCGCGAGAAGCGTAAACGTAGCTGCCGCCGTGGCATCATCGGGCGTCGTCGTCGTCGTCGTCGTCGTCGTCGTGTCGTCATCGGATCGCGCCAGAGAGCGAGCCACAGCTGTTGAAGCCGGCCGGCCGGCCGGCCGGCGCCTGATATCCGTCGCTGGCGGCCTGGCCGATGTGTGCGTGTGAGATCGTGACGTCGCGTCGCCTCCGCCGCGGCTCCCCGAAAGTCGTTTTCCGCTGGAAATGCAGGGACGCGTAGCGCCGCGCCGGCACTCTCGCGGATCTTCTCCGCGCTCCCGACTCTCTACGCGTTCACGCCCAACAAGCATGGCGCGCGCGCTTGCTCCCGCTCGGCGCGGACGCCTCTTTTCTCTCGCGCGCGTGTGACATTTCCTTCCATTACCGCGCTCTCTGTCCACACATCCGCATTTCACTCTTACGTCATGTAATTCGTAATCATTCATGGGCACAAATATTTTTCTACATTTCTAGGATTGCATGCATATTTCCGTGCGTTTAATGAATTGGAAAGAGAATATAATCTTTTTGCGTAGAACACGCTATCGGATTGAAATATACATTCGCGTGTAATTTCATTATCTTTCATTTCGACTAAATAATTTTTGTCATATTTGATGTTTTCCACAAGCGATACATGTAGTTAGCTGAGAGCTAGATAATAAAATTGGTTTTCTTTTCTATAGCTTTTTCTGTAGATTTATCTATATAAAAGAATATATAAATACAAAAAATAAATTTTCAGTTATTTTATGTTAAAATTATATTCATGGATTTACAATTTTTTCATGAATATGAGCTTTATCTATGTATTTTTATCCATTATATATTATGTTGTTTACGTTATTATAACGTATTAATATAAAATAAATAGGTATATAAATATCAGAGATTGCAGATAGTCCGTTATAATAAAAGAAACTTACATGAAATCTTTATTATTATTATGAAGATACAAAGTTATTTTAAAAGCATAAACCCAATGCGAAGCCAGCATCGCAACATTGTCAGTTCAACCAAGTATGTCGAGTCATTTTTTGCGTCTTCGTTGTGTATACGGCGTGGCGTATGGTTTTTTTGTCTCACGTTAGAGTACAACGATCGTAGAACAAAGAAGCAGGAAGGTGCGAGGAAAGTATTCTTTTGTGTACAGCCGAGTGACCGACAGAGCCGGGGCATATATATATATATATATATATATATATAATGCCGCCACACGCGTTACGTAAAGCTGCCGCGTTTGTTGCACAATAATCGGTTTCTATAAATAACTCCAAGCATGCCGTACTTCGGCTCGACTTCTTGTTTACATACTCATCATCGTTGTATTGCGCTCGCTCGTTTCTCGATCGCTCTATCTTTGAGTCCCGAATCCTGAAAGCTACTTCATTCATAATATGCTCATTCTATTTATTTAAATCTGTTTTATTAAATCTGATATAGTTTAGAAAATAAAATAATACTTGATGCTTCGTTAATAACTTTGGTGTTTGTAACAGACGCATTCTTGTGTGATTAATATAGATAATATAATAACATAACGTTTTATACCCAATAAAATATGTTAAAATTTTTATGAGTCGTATATCAAAAATTATTCGTCCATCATCGTAGATCATTCCCATACAGCACAGAACAATGTTCTATGCTGTATGAGTTATGACGGGGAGGGAAAAAAAAAAACGAAGTAAGCGCTGTATGCAAAACATTATGTATGGTGTAAGATATATAAAACAGCGTACGCCATGATAATAAAATTAAATAAATAAAATCAATACTGTTAGCCTCAAACGGATTATTACAATTGGTATCAAGCGTAAATAAATGATTATTGTACGCGACATATCAATGTAATAAGTGGAAGTAATAATTTCGTTTTTCACATATGTGTAATCATATCATTGCATCATACTGTATATATTATTTCTATATTTCTAATTATGATGTGACAGTGGAAACGCTGGAGAAGTGGCTCATAATTATTTTTATCTAAATTATATATAATTCATCATTCATTGAATGCATCTTACTCATGTTATGTTATCCTATAGTATCATTACATAAGTTTTTTATACAATAATAAATCCGCCTTTTTCATAGTATATTACGACGGCGCGTTATGAGGAGAAACTATTTCCTAAACTTTCTTCGCGCATTGGAATGCATAACTTTGACACCAAAGTTGGACTGAACACACGAAATCACATCAGATATGTGCTTATCCGCTAATCGCACGACAAGTACGATATCAATCCATCAAACAGTCTGTCGTTACATAATCAGTATAGCTCTTGCATTATCAATTGCGATAAAGTTGCGCCAAACCGTACTGATAAAATAATTTATTCTGGCGCACGTTGTCTCTGTATATATTTCTCACAATCAGTTTATTTTTTGATAATGATTTAGAGAAATGTAAATTATATTTATCATATATGTCAAATGCATTCGTTGACTTTTGTTTATAACATACAATTGAGGCAGTTACAGTTGTAAATAAATTAAATATTAAATATGATCTCTTTTCTTGATTTTTTATATATGACGTGATAATTTTTGCGTTTAATATTTTTATAATAAAATCTATTTTTTACATATTTTTATATTATTTTTCGCATATTGCGTAATATCGCGATTATCACTCATAATTGGTCGTATAATCCATGCAATAATATTTCTAAAACTAATATGTTTTTAATATCACGACAATAGACAGTTCAATACGTAATTTGTCGCATAATCGTCGTTATAAAATATGCATGCTCTTTATATAGCTCTTAAGTGTATATCGATCAGATACAAAAACAGTATCGACTCAACGATATCTAAGTAATATTTATCAATGCGAAATCGTTACGCGAGGTATATCTCGAGATAAAGCGTTAAACCGTTTATCGATCATTTCGCGTTGTATGCGCAAATACTCGCAAAAACGACGCATATAGCTCTTTACTGTTTATCCCGCATTCCAAGACGAGAAGCGACCTCGTCTCACCTCGATGCACTTTTTGCGTACGCCTGCTAGTTCGCATTTGCAAGCTCGCGGCTTAATAAACGGTTCGGGTCGAGCCAATCCTGACCACGGTCAACGTAGCAGCACCATATCACGCGCGTACATTGCTTTTTAAGTAGTATATATACATACAAGTGAGAGATATACCTTCGTGCCGCGAGAGCGCATGCAATGTGCGAGAGGCGCGAGCGAGCGAGAGAGTGCGGCATGGAGCGAGATGCGATGAGTGAGTTATATATTTCGCACGATGCACCTACTTGCACCGGGTTAACCTCTGCATTCGGGTGCGCGTGTACCTGATGATGGTGCATGCCGTATAACGTATGTCGTATCCGCGGTACGACGTAATTCGCGAACGCGTATACACGTTTTCTCAAAGAAACGTCATTGATCTTGACGAGTTAACATCACGCGTTGAAATTATCGCGTGAGACATAAAGTTACTATATAGACGTGGAAATAAAAAAAATTATTATAATTATACATATTTTAGGAAAAATATATGGATATGTGGATATATAACGAGTAAAAAATTCACTACACAAAAAAAAAAAAAGATGATTGGCTCCAACGATAGAACTACGTTTTTACGTTACGTTTTTATTCTCACCCATCAGAAACGAATCATGAACATTGCATTGACCGATTATTGCACTTTGAACATAACATAATATGTCGGGCATGTGCGAAGGAAACGTCGCGACGCCGCGTCACGTCTTTCACTATGAAATCTAGACGTTTGAACGGCTTCGTTTAGGAATGGGCTTAACACCTGTCGCAACTGCATATTTTTTCCAATCTCATTATCCACCGTGACTTCCTGCCGACCATGTTTAACTGGGTTGAACATTCGCAATGCACACTATGTATTCATCCATTCGTCGCGATAAAGACGATCCCCGAGTTTCCGGACCGTGTTTTTATCGTTCATGCAAATACAATGCGAATGATAGGTCGGCTACTTGCGGTATAACGTCCGTAATAGATAGGAGTTGTGCCTTGTCGTGATAGACATAAGTAGACAAAACGGGTCTTTATTTACCTGCACTTATCTGGAACATGACTTCGCAGTATGACTTGCGTGTGTATACGTGCGGGAATACTTTATTAGCGTTGCACACACGCTATAACCTGCGATATCACTATTATAATTAATAGAAGCTGTACATACCTGGTTTCATTTCTCGGTTTTGCGAATATATGTATAATTGCGATGATAGACATAAGTAAACAAGTGCAGCCTTATTTTAAGATCCAACCGAGTCACGATAATTACATACTATGTACAAGCAATAGCATCTCTGCAATAATCTATACAATAGTATTATTACTCCTGTCACTATTTTAATAATTGACAAGGAAAATTTAATAAGCGTGATTCTCTTAGACAGTTCACGAAAACAGAGAGCTACCGCGATAGATGTAAATAGACAATACGGGAGTCTTTATTTTAGGAACTAGCTGGGGCCTCTACAATGTAGTATACACGAGTATGCGAGTTTCAAATTGCAGAATTTTATATGAGATTACAGAGAGAGAGAGAGAGAGAGAGAGAGAGAGAGAACGCTATAGCTCACAATACTATTCTTTAATAATTAATTCGAAATTAATAATAAATTTATCTTCTGATCTTTTCTATGACCGTACAATGTAGCGCACAATATAGCGAACCGTGTTCCACAGTATTTCACACGTTATAAAGAAGACTAC